TTATTTTTTGTTTAATTTTTTTCTTGTAGCAGTCATATAAGTTCATTCATCCACGAATTCATTCTAACTAATGTTGACTCAGCAGCATATGATGGGTATTCCTGGCAATGCTGGCAGATACACAAGAGGCCACAGTCCTCATACAATGTATTTACAGTGGGAGAGGTATGATGTATGTGTAGATGCAAATTCTGCAGAATAACGTGGCATGTGTTACATACATGGTACAAACAGATGCTTGGGAAGACCAGCAAAGGAACGATATGGTAAAATGTTAATATCAAAAATTAATACACACTATTCTGTACATCAGGCTGGTATTGGGGACTCATAATTGCAACCACAGTGGCCTCCTGTGGTCGTAAAATATTTCTACATAGTGATCGTCTTTATTCTCTAATAGTGTTGCAGCTCATTCATATACATTTTTATACTTGCAGTAGGATGTGAAAAGCAACAGGGACATAAACCAAAATAGTGTCTTCTTCACATTTCTCTCAATCCAAATGATTGCTATTTGGAGATTTAGAAAATCTAAGTCATAGAATGGGGGAAAAATCCTGGCCATGTGGTGGCTGTTGCCTAACGAGCTGCTTCCTCCTTCCTTTCTCTTTTGGTCTCTGGGCTTACTCTTTGCACTGTCCATGGTGCCTGAAGAGCGGTGCCACTTCTGAGTTTCCTGCATGACTCCTTTATACTCCAGCATTTTCTTTGAGAGCTCCCAGGTGGAAAGTTGCTAAATGAGTTAAATGAGCTGAGCCTCTCAATGTTAGATCAGTCCTATCAGCTAATTGAGTAATGGTTTCAAGTAGTATTAATTCCAATCTCAAAATAAAATCAGCATCAACACCTTAGCATAGCTTACTCACTCCCGATGATCTCAAAAACAAGACCCTAAGATTGGGCATTATGGATTTATTCAACGAATTCACCAACATCTCATTGTTTGATGTACTGTATTTAGGACAAAGCAAAAATTTTAAACTACTTTTTAAGACTTTCTTACATTTGAGAATTTACAGGGTAGATAATACACCTAATAAACAAATGGACATACATGAGGGAATAGCAATTTTCTGTGTAGAAAACAATTCTGTGTTATCATGTATTATGCTTTTCAAAGTGAAGTTGTGAACTTTATCGCTAGTACATTACCCCTTTCATCCCCACAACTGCTTTTCATTTTAGTTCTTTGGTCAACCAGTTTCTCATTAATATTTTATTTTAAAAGAGGAGGACATTCTCAAAATATTAGCATCCTTAATTATTTTTAACAGCAAGCTGGAAGAAAAAAATAGAACAGAAAAACAAGATTATTAAAAACTTGGTGAGACAAAGTATCTTTCAAAAGCTCAACTAAGTCCTGATGGAAATCCCTGTTAAAGAGGAATGAGCTAAAATATCATTAAAAAGAGATATTTTAAATCAAACCTGTCATAACAGAAAACAATCTTAAAGATTATTTGTACAGAAAGCAAAAGGCTTACATAGGTGTGCTGGTACATGTCTGTAAACCCAGTGCTCAGAGAGGTCAGAAGTTCTAGTCCAGTCTGGGAATATCAGCCAAGTTAGTATCAAACTAAAAAATTACAAGTGAAAAAGCTAAGAATAAAGTTCAGTACAAAGGCTCTGGATTCACTACCCAGAATATAAAGATGAAAGAAAGAGGTATATGAGAATATTATGCAAAATTATACTACTCACATACTTACCAATTATTTTTTAAATTTTAAAATATTGGTTACAATAAGACACATGGCCAGTAACCCCCTTTGAAATACTTCCTTTCAATTCTAAGAGCTGTCCCACCCCCTCATCCTGCCACCCCCGAAGCAGCTCCGGAAGCCTCTCTCACGAATGTCTTCACGAGGCATGATCAGCACTGCTCTGGACGCTGTTTCCCATCCTGGAGGGCAGGCCAGAAAGGCATTACAGTGCATTTTCATCCAGTGTATCCCCCAGATCTGCTTTGTGTGGCTCTGTGATTTTCCCCCAAAAGATAATACAATGAGGAAGCCAAACAGAACAACCAAAGCCTGTCATGAAAGAGGATAGAATTTACAAAAATAAATGGATTTATAAAGTGTTAAAAAGTTTATTTACTTATAAAAGTTGATGACCATTTATTTAAAAGAAAAATTGTTCTTTTGGTTTTAGAAGTTTCCAAATATATGGATCATATCAAAAGTAACTTGTGACATTTATGTTATTAATCTTTAAATATGAAGCCAGGCCTAGTGCTCATGCCTATAACCCCAGCACTTGGCAGCTGAGGCAGGAGGATGCCCATGAGTCAAGGCCAACCTTGTATCCAGAGTGAGTTCAAGGCCAATGTGAACTACACAGTGGAGCCCTGTCTCTAAAAATATCAATGTTTAAATAGATTTGAAAGCTAAATTAAATTTTCATTAAAAGATGGAGCAATATCTGAAGAATATTTTACTTAAATACTAGTATTCAAACTTTAGGTATATAAGTCTTATATAAAAAACCCTATATTTTATTATGTTTCCTGGATCCATCTTTCCTTTTTTCTAATTCAGAACAAAATAACAACAAAAAAAACCTGGTTACTTGATAAGTCACAGTACAGTAAATAATGTAACATAGATATTTTCCATGAATTAAAGTTGTGAGAGGGTAGTATTCTCCCCTAATCTGGACCATTTCTTAAGTAAGGCAGATATTTTCTAAGCATCCACAATACCTATAAATTCAATCACCTGAAAATCAACCCCAACACACTGTTTCCTTTTCCCTGTGCTAAGTACAGGTTTTAAACTTCTTTTGTTGTTGTTTTTTTACAGGGTCTCACCATGCAGGTCAGATTCATAGTGATCCTCCTGTTTTCGGCCTCCCCAGTGCTGGGATTACAGGCATATGCTACAACACCAGGACTTGGTTGCCAGCTCAGTGCATCCTGGGTTGGGTTCAGCATGGCATGCAGTACTAAGATAGAACTCTGGTCCCTGCGCTTGCCTAAGCAGGCTTAAGTGCAAGTTATTTTCATGGCTGAACTTCTCTTTCCCTTCAATAGTCAGAGCAAGCACACAACCATGGTTTCAACTGTAGTTTGAGAAAACCAACATAGTCAAGCTAAATTTATAAGAAATTCTATTGTACAATAGGACCATGAATCTTGCCTTGGTTTTTTATAGGTAAAATAGAAATTGCTTTTCCTTGACATGGTTGTCTAGGAAGTAAAGATGCATTTGGAAACTCTGGCATGAAGATTCACTAAACATTTTATCTTCCATACCACTCTTACTATTGGCCTCAGATTTACATGCTTCAAATTTCAATTTTGATCATGCTGGACAGATACATGCATACAGAGTTCTTAAACTTTTATCTCAGACTGGTGAACAAATCATGGTCATAACCAGGACTTAATAGGAATTAAACTGTACTGCACCCCAATTGCAACCAAAAAACAGATAAGCGCTATGTCATGGACCCAGGTTGTAGAGAGTCAGGGGGGTGGTTTCTTCCTTTCATAGGGATTTTAAAAGCAATTCCAAGAAAAGAATGTAAAGTGCTATGTGCTTCATGTGTTTCTGTTTTCATGGAAACCAAAATCATTCTGTGAGAAGTTTAACTGCTTGTAGAGAGATCTCAAAGTTTGGTGATTATAGTATAGAACAGCAGATAAATGATACATAGCTAGATGACATATAGACAGACAGGTAGGCAGGCAGGCAGGCAGGCAGGCAGGCAGACAGACAGACAGACAGACAGACAGACAGACAGACAGACAGTGACTGGCCTGGAAGAACAAATCACAAAGAATTGGACTGTGAAGCAGCCAGCTTGAGGACACTAAGCAGAAAGCTCCAAGGCTCTGATTCCATTTTCTGAGCAGAGCCACAGCCTTGACGCCTCAGCAGCTGGTGGCTTTTCTGGGCACAGGCTGGTGTGAATAGAAAGAGACAGCAGTGTGCTCCCTGTCACATTTGAATGAACAGCTCCTGTGACAGGAAGACTTTTTCTGTCAACACAATAACAGTGGCTCTGTGAGAGCCCAAGTTATGTGTTATTTCGCCCTGGAGGGAAATTGGTACCTGATAAGTAAAGGCTTCGCACAGCAAATTCAACATATATTTAAGTGTCTGCCATTGTGAGGCACGGAGATGACTCAGAGGTGGATGGGAGTGTACAGAGCCTTACTCTCTTGGTGCTTTCACTCAGTGGGAGAGATCCGCAGAAAGGCAGGAAGAGATCTAGCCCATAGAAAAGATCACTTCGAAGAGCGGCAAGTGCTGTGAATAAAGCACGCCAGGAAAGGAACCAGGAGATCGAGAGCATGGAAGAAGGAGGACAGAAGAACTGTGCGCTCGCAGCTGTTGATGTGCCACAGAAGGCTGGGACAAGCAGCCGTGAAAACTCAGAGGAAATGAGCAGTCCACGTTTTCTGTCAGCCTGTGTGGGTGGAAGTGGGGGGTAGCGGTGTGTGGAAAATTTATGTTTAGAGAAAAAGGGCCCTGCTGTTTCTTACAGGCATAGCGGACCACGTATACGCAAAGGAAATGGTCCCTGATATGCTGCGCTGCACAGTGTTCAGAAGCTGCAGGTAAACTGTAAAGGAACGCTCACTACTGAGAAGACAGAGCACAGTAGGTAGTGCCTCAGATTGTATCCATTTCTTAATGACTGTTGTATCTCCTTTTTATGAATCCCACACTCTGGGACCTGCTTTTTTTAATGCATTTAGTACAGGGTCTACAGGGTCTCACTACGTGGATCGGACTCGTAGTGCCTGTGTTCAGATTCCCAAGTGCCGGAATTACTTACAGGCGAGCCACCAGGCCCAGTCTCAATCTCAGTCTCAGCACACCCCTGGGGCGGGACTAGCACGGCACGCAAGGGATTGAACCCTGGCCGCTGCTCTCTGCCTAAGCAAACCCTTTATGGGACCTGATTCTTTTCAGGAGAAAAGGCTTGTTCTTTCTAGGCTAAAGATTCAGCATCTACTCAACCCCAGTTTGTGCCAATTCTTGCAGAAAATAAAAATCTATTTTAGCAGATCTGAAGTAGAGTCGTCAAATACGCTCACCCCGACTCTTCTGTCGTTTGACTTAAGTTCAGCCAATGACAGCCTCGTTAAGTGTGCTGCTGGATGCGAGTACCAGCTGTACACCGTTAGTACTGTACATTTGTGCTTATGACTAAATTTCAAGTGGCCTGTGACTCACTTGCTGTTTCCCACGTCCCTAATTTAGACTTGCCAACAGAAAATAGTTCTAAAACATGTTTCGCGAACCATGCTTTTGTCAAATGACATATGCCCTATCTCCCTCATGCCACTGCAGCATGTCTTGGGCCTCTTTCCTCTCAAAGCCTCATCCACTGCTGTCAATGGCGTTGCTAGTACCCTCTTCAGCAGTAGGATCTGAAGGTACACAGAAGAAAGCAGCCTTATGAACCAGTAACTAAAACCCAGAATTTTTGAGAGAAAGTGAAAACTTTCCCCAGCATGCGACTGCCTGATGGACGAGCGGCGGCCACATCAAGGCTCCTGCGCTCGCACAACACACTGCCAGACCCTGAGAGGCTGACAGGTCTCAGATCAGACCGCTGGAGCTGCGAGACAGTGAGTCTTATTTTGAAGGCTCAGTTTCAAGCATAGCTCATTATTTGTAGAAACTGCTAGTCAACAAGGGAAGGAATGAGAGTTTTAAAGGATGAACCGTAGCACAGGCTTGCCATGCAGTCAAGCCGGTTTGCAATTGTTTTCCTTAAGTTGGAATGTTAAGTTAGAAAAATGCTATTTTGGACCCAAATTAATACTTTAAAAATTCATAGTTTATAATATGGAGGTGTGTATGAAAGTGGGGTGTGTGTGTGTGTGTGTGTGTGTGTGTGTGTGTGTTTAGGGAGCTCTGAGACACACATGGCATATATTGCATGTGGCACCACAATGCGATGGAGGCTCGCTGATAATCCTATAGAATGTAAGGGACACAAGCAGCCCTTTACTGACTCTGTGAGAGACCTGAAATTTCAAAATGACACTTCAAAATGAAATAGTCTGGAACAGTCGGTCATTTGCACCCACTTTTCATGCTATCTCTTCTAGACAACCTAGGTTACTTTCCTTATTTTCCCATGCTCTTGCAACAACTTGGTCTACCATTCAATATCCCTCAGTACAGGGTAAACATAAAAAATCCACTCAAGTTTTCATACACATGTACATAATTTCAGGGTTCTGTTTGATTTTCTTTGCTTTTTTGTGTTGGAGACTGAACCCTCAACTTTGCATTTATAAAGCATGAACATATCTAGCACAGAAATACATTCTCAGCCAATTTAAGGGTTTTGAAAAGCTTCTAGACATGTCTCTAGGAAGTTGAGTTTTATGTCTCTTGGAAACCATGGGACCACATACAAAGATATTGTAATATTAGAGTATGAGAGCATGACATGGGCTATGCTGTCACAACACTGAAAGGGGTAACTTTCAGCCACTTAGCATATATAATGGGGTCATGGTAAATGTTACTTTTGGAAGCACGGTTAATATTGATGGCAGTACACTGAGGCATGAATCACTGTAGGTAAGACTTGGTGAATATATGTGATTGTGTCCTTCAAGGGAGAAACCTAGAAATGGAGAAACTGTGTCAACAGGTAAATATTTTAACATTTTTTGATGCCATGGTTTATACATACATGTCTTCCTGAGCCCTCATGTGCTCATGGACAGGGTCTTTTGGAAAGATTAGTCCACTGAGAAGTTTATAGCTCAGTATAATTTGGGAGGCAGAGCCTGGTTAGAGGAGGAAGGTCACTAGGTGTGGCCTGGAAGACTCCACCCTCCCTGGAGCTCTCTGTTTCCTGCCATCCTTCCATGAAGGCTCTTTCCTCTGCTATGATCCTCTGCTATGTTATCCTGCCTTGGAGCCAGGGCAAAACACCCTGAAGCCTCTGAAAACCTTCTCTCCTGTAAATCTTGGGCATCAGGTGTTGTGTCTCGTCAATGAAAAACTGACCAAGAGACTTGAGGAAGTTTCTTTTAAGAAAATAACATAGCATTTTATAATAAGGGATTGTATGTCTATGTACTTTTAATCAAAGTATTTAATCATTAATTCATATGTGCTTATTTGATGGCAATAGTTTTCATTCAAGTTAAATTAAGCAGTTTATTACTAACAAGTATCAATATTGATAAATTCCATTCACATTATTTTTCATACCTATTCTTTTTTACCCAGATGTCGATAAAAGTATGTTTACAAGAGCTTTTAAATTATTTCTATGCTCATTAAAAATATTTCCTGGAGCCACAGAGGTAGCTCAGCAGTCTAAGTGTTTGCCTAGGCCAAGCACAAGGGCCTGGGTTTAGTCACCAGTACAGCATGCCATGCCAGCCCTGCCTCGGGCACATGGAGCACCAGACTGCCAAGACCGGGTGTG